TATATTACTACAATACTACGTGCATAGTACTCGTTAATCTCCTGTGTGCCCTGCACCAAATTAATCCTATTTTTCTTTTTATGAAAGAAATTTGTGGGTGGTATTATAATTAGTTTGCTCATCGGGTGTCAAGATGGGGAAGTCCTGGATATTGTCTCACATGCCGGTGTATATGGAAAATCAAGTGTGAAATCGACCTATTAATCCAACATGTAAGCTAGCCAAATGGATGTATGTTGGGTTAGAAAATAACTAGAGCAATGAAGATAGAAAAAATGATTAAACTAAAAGGTAAGTGAGGGCATTCAAGGACCAACCTATAGTTGAGGATATGTGGACAAAATTGGGATACTTGGAAACATGTCATGCAACAAATGGATAGATATAAGTTCCCTTGCCACTCTCATGATCAAGGGAATACTAAGGGTACTTTCTTTTGGTTATTCTCATGGTCCAATAACAATCCAAATTCATACAAAGAAGAACCAACAATTGTTCTCCTACCTTCTCCCACTCAGTGGTGGAGCCGGGCCGGTTCGGGCCCGGTCGGGCCGGCGGTTCAGGAATGGGGGGCCCGGGACTGGCCCGGGTAATCCCCGGGTCCGGGTCAGGCCGGGCCGGGTCTCGGGTAATTACTATTTTTTTCCCTTTTCCTAGTTAACCCCCAACCCCCCACCCCCAAACCACCCCAAATGGCCCAAAATACCCAGCCCAATATGTAAAGATAAAAAAGAATTGAAAAAAAAATTAAAATAGGCCCGGTACTCGGCCCGAACCGGCCGGACCGGTTCGCCAAAACCACAACCCGAGCCCGGACCCGCCCTCCCCCCTGGGCCTAGGCCCGACCCAGACCCGAGAACCAGTCCGGTTCTGGTCCCGCACAATAGCGGGCCGGGCCGGTCCACGGGCCGGGCCGGTCCACGGGCCGGGTGGCTCGACCCGAATCCACCCCTACTCCCACTCATAGAGAGGGATAGTGTACATGCGAATGTGTCAAAAGGAACCCTACAAGTCTCCTTGGACCAAAACAACATCTAAGAACATTGTGACCATCAAAGTTTTAAAAATTCAAATAGGCATTTTCACAAAAACATAGTGTGCATAATATATTTCTCAAATCCCCCCCAAATCAAACCCCAAAACCTATAACATCACATAGTCACATGGTTGGATGGTCCACAAACACCCCAAAACCCTAATCCCACTTCTCACTCATGCTAGATTCTATATCCATAAAGCATATGCAACACAAACTCATGTAGTGAAGCAATAATAAAAAGGGAATGAGATTAAGGAAATAATGTAATCTTAGATATTAAATGCAAGAAAAACATATATTTGATGTAAATAAAGCTTAGGAATTCAATACAAAAGAGTTCAAGGAAGCTTACAATCAAAATTGGGGGTTTGCAAAAAAAATCTCGCCCAAAAACTATGAAATTCGGAACAAAGGAGGGTAAGGAGGAAATCGGGGGGAGCGCTAGGAAGGAACATCTTTCTTTTTGGAGGAATGCTGAAAAGGAACAGTGTTTCTCTCACGGTTCCTGCCTTAACACAAAAAAATTCTACCCAACATAGAGTCTCTCTCTGACGATGGGAACGTTGGTAGGGATGTCGTTCTTGAGGGAACGTTGGTAGGGATGCCATTCTTGAGGGAACGTTGGTAGGAGCGACGTTCTTTGTCGGCGTTCCTACACATGGGACTATGAAAAAGAATTTTGATGGAACGAATAGGAAGAAGCGTCGTTCCATATGGCATTTCTATGTCTTTAATTTGTATACCAAAACACCTCTGACGTCTTCGTTTCTTACTTCTTTGAGCACCGCTTCATCCCGGGTTTTCAAATCATTCATTTATGCTCCCAAGACTCTTCAAAATGTTTGGTTTTCACCCCTACAATGCTCAAAACCTCTTTGTGGTTCCTGCAACCAAAATATTGCACAAGTAAAATCAAATGGGAGAAATAATCAAAAGTTGACAAACAAAGAGCAAAATTTATGAGAAAGTATTAGATATTTTCACCCCTATCAGGTTCCGTATAAAATTTTGCTTGATTCTTAGTAACAGAAGAAATTATTTCCTCATAGGACAAAACTGGAGGTTTTAGAGGCCAAGATTGGTCCAGCAAAAATATGGTTTAAACAATACAAAGTACAAGTGTTCTTTAACCACAATTATGTTATAAAAAAACATAGGTTCCCACGTTAACACAATTGTGTTATAAAGACGGTTTATAGTTCTTTACTCCCTTCGTCTCTTAAAATTTTACCAAGTTTGACTTGAACGGAAAATAATAAAGTAAAAAGTGTGTGGTTGATGTTTATACAGAGAAGTGAAAAATTACAGAAACCACAAATTAATTGATTAAAAAGGAAATGACAAAGTTTTTTTGGCAATAAAAAAGAAAAGATGACAAATTTTTAGTGGATGGGGGAGTATTACTTATAGAATATGTCAAAATTAATATTTCTATGGAAAAACTTTCATTTATGTGAACTTTCGCTTTCTTCAGTGGTGAGTACAACTTTCATTCTTTGTCTTCGTAGGATATAAATTAAAAAATCACATTTTAATTTTTATCTAAGTTTTATATTAGTATTGAGATGGATTCTACTTGTTCAGATTTATACGGAGTATATAGTAAGATGATAAAAAATACTCCGTATCAGGTTTTAATTTGCAAGTTGCAACATTGCATACCAAACCCGTCCTCATACGTACCCTTGACTTGAAATCTGGTTCATGCGCACCAACGAGAACGAAGTCCACAAAAATATTCGTATAGAGGAAGCTAAGATACAATTATAGAAAATATGAGTCCGTTTGATTACCCTATTTTTCGGTTTATCAGACTTATTAATCCATTTTTTCACCAATGATATAATTTTTTATTCCGCGCGTTGAATTGTGTAATAATAAGAAAAAATATGGTTCGAATTACTTTTCTTTACTTCATAAATTTCATCTGAATCAGCGGATTCAGCTAATTTCGGTGTTATCAAACGGGCTCCAAAACACATGTAATAATGAATTAAAAGTAGGGATAATTTGAGTTTGCACCCCATTTTATTGTTCAAATTGAACTTTGCACCCCGTTTTTAAAAAACTTTGTTTTTGCACCCCAACCCCATATGAAAAGACAAAATTGCCCCCCATTAACAATTTTGTTGGTCTTCAACATATTTCTGATCGAGGGTATTTTTGTCTTTTCATATGGGGTTGGGGGGTGCAAAAACAATGTTTTTTTAAAAACGGAGTGCAAAGTCCAATTTGAACAATAAAATGGGATGCAAACTCAAATTACCCCTTAAAAAAGTATATAAAAATTCTGATTCTGTAATTACACCTAAACTTTTGAATACTTTTATACATTTATATTCAAAACGCCTAAACTTTTTTTTGGAAGCCTAAACTTTTAAAATATTCCCTCCGTCCAAATTTGTTTTGCAAAGTCAACATTTTTTGGTCAACCAATAATAAAAGTCAACCATCCCTATGGATAACTAATTCAATTTTTAATAATTGAAATTTACATATTCAAAAGCTACATTAAAATCTCTTCAAAGTTGTAAACTCCAAATTAGGGGGTTTGTCCTCAAATAATACTAATAAAAAGCATTTGGACAAAAAAAGAGACTTTTCTTTTAAGTTCCAAAAATAAGACTAAATAATACTTAAGGGACTATTACACCCTTACTAAGCCCAAACCCACTGGCCTGCTATGGTAACCCGTCACAGTGACCAATGTTACAGTTACCAATGACATAGTTACAAAATTCATCCAGTGACCAAAAATCATTAGTGACCAAAAATCCAAAATTCACTAGTGACCAAAATTACAGTGACCAGTTACAGTTACCCGATTCAACCAGTTACAATTACTCAATCCGACCAGTTACAGTTATCAAATTCGACCATTTACAGATACCCGATCCAAACCGGTTACAGTTACCCGATTCAACCAGTTACAATTACTCAATTCGAACAATTACAATTACCCGACTGATGAGTTACAATTACCCGACAAGTGCAGTTACAATCACTCAACACGTTCAATTACAGTTACACGGTCATAGCCGCTTAATTACCTACTTAACCATTTACAGTTACAATTATCCGATTCAACCGATTATCAGACCGTTTTACTAGATTTGATCAATATCCGATCCGATAATGGCCATCACTAGCCGCCGCCACCGGCGGTGAGTTGGTGACCCACTACCGCCCTAACTCCGGCGGCCAGCCTCCCCGGCCCATGTCTAACCCAAAACCTAATCCCCTCTTCAGCATACCTCAGCCCCCAAATCCCCTGCCACCAAAGTGCCCGGCCAGTGCCGCCGCCGCCGCCGGCCACCACACCCGCCCCAACCCCTACAAGCTGCAACCACCTTATCTCGCCCAACCACCGCACACCGCTGCCCCTCCCCAATGCAAATCAGCGTCGCCCCGACAGGCCCCGACATCCCCTCGCACGACCATAACCCCAGCCCCAGCATACGCCGTCCATGTCCAAAAAAAACTATCTGCAACTCCGCTACATTAAAATCGTAGCCGATTAGCCATTGACGCGCTCGATTTGAAACCCAAGCTGTCGAAGACGCCATTGCCACGCTCGATTTGAAACCCTAACTGTCGGAGACGCCATCACCGCGACCATCGCCATTGATTCTCGATTGTTCAGCTAGAAGAGAAGAGCAACAGAAAAGAAGCTTACCTGGTACGTCGACAGCGGCGGCGTAATGGGAAGGAGACGATGGTGATGGCGTGGAGCCTCCAGGGATGGATCGCGGTAATGGTATCTGAGTCGCACGGGATTGATCGGTCTAGCAGAGATTTGTTCTCTTTTTTAATTAGGGGTGTTTTAGTCTATTTAGTAATGTTAGGTCCTACTTTTGTCCAAACTTAAACCGGGTTCCATTTTTGTAAATGTAGAAGTCCATAGTATTAGTTTTGCCATTTTTTCAACAATCAAACATTGCTTTGACACTAGCGTTTCAAAAGCGAAATTTAGCGCCCATTATGTTTTGCCGCCAAGACAGTCCCGTCAGGAATGTGTGGCGCGTGTTGCCCACTGATCCAATATCCATATGCGGCGGGCGAGAAGGACGGTGTTGACTGGGTGAGAATTCCAGCTTCTATCGCCTTAGATCTCCGACGCTGTAACAATGGCAGATCCCATTGACTACTCGAAGACCCAGCGCATCCTGCTCCTCATAGATCTCCACCCGCTTCAGACCTTCCGGAACCCTAACTCTTACCTCATTTCAGTCTCCGCAACCGCCAGGCGCCTCCTGGCCTTCGCCTCCCTCACCCAGTCGCTCTTCTCCTTCAAATTCTTCTTCTCTTCTCTCTGCCCTTACCTCTCCACCTCCGTCGTCGATCAACTCATCGGCAGCTTATTCCCCTCTTCTTTCAACCTCCCTTCCGAAACGCTAAGCTCCCTTATAGCTATCCTCACATCTGTGTCTATTCCAGCGGAATTTGAGGTAAAACCGTCTCGCGCATCAAATGTCGCTAGCTCTTTGCACAAGCTCGTATTCGATTGCACTTGGGAATCTGAAAATGATGATCTATCGGGTAAGGCTAATGTCGAATTTCCTAAGATTTGTTCAAATTTGGTGCTTTTGTTTTCCCATTTGCCCAACTCCATAAGCTGCTTATCTGAGTATATGAATCTGGGTGTTAGTTCTGAAGCTTTAAGGGATTTAGATGGGTTTATGGTCAAATTTCATGAATTGTTTGGTATCGTGAGCAAAGCATTTTCTAATAGAGATATTCATTTAAGTTGGATTGATGTGGGAGATGGCCTCGCTCCGGGTGTCGATTGTAATAAATTTGACAACTTTGGTGGATCAATGCTTTTGGAGAATGGGATAAAGAGCTATGGGTGGGGCTTTTGTCCAACATACTCAATTGTTTTAGATTCTGCTCTGATTCCTTTTGGGTTGATGTATCCGAAAATTGGGATCCCATTGCAGTATCTGAAGTGCGCCGACTCTAGTCAAGGTCATCGTGGACAGCTATATCTTGAGATCCTTGATGTGAATGGAAAGCCTTTGGGGTGCAAGTGCAGTGATCTTGAATTCCTGGATCTGAATGTTTCACAAGGCGGGGTTTGCAATGGGGAATCAGTTTGGTCGCGGTTTGGGGAAGGGGTGGTGATAAAGATGCAGGTTCAGGCAATCCTGCGGTATGATGATGAGGATGGAAAAGCTAAAAGGTGCACATCTAGCTCCATTCTAGTGCGTGAGTTTTCTGGTGACACAAAGAAATGCCAAACCAAATTTACAGATGGTTTATTTGCTTATAGAGTTTTTGACATTCTGTCTGGACATATGAGTGAGAACAGACACAGAAACAACTATGTTCCTATCTGGAGCATTCTGCTGACTTTTCTATACAAGGAAGGATGCCAGGCCTTGGTTTCACTTTCCAGTAATAATGAACAGATTACAAGTATTCTCAAGCCTGTGACGGCTCACTTAGCACTACTCTCAGTCACTGATAATAATAAAAAACATGGTTGGAATCAATCAGATTCTAGTGGTGTAAGAGAGAGGACTTGCAACACATCTGTTGTAGAAACAGATGATGCAAATGGTTCACAACCTGAGGCTTCAACTTCTACTTATTGTGAACCACTAAGGCATGGGAAAAGACCAAAGAATAAGAAGTCTGTAAACAAGCATCTCTGTTGGAGCTCATTTTGTAATGCAGCTTTTGAGTGCTCTGATTTCAATTTGGTGGAGATCTATTTTGCCAGGAAACCTGAAAGTTCAAAGATGCTAAAGTTCTTGATGTGCTGGATGAAGCAAATAAAAAAGCACAGCAGCATTTTGCTGCCAACAGCACTTCATCATTCATCCCAGTCTCAGCAGCATGTGCTGCTACCACCTTTGTGTACTCAAGTAAACTTAATGCAGGAGAATGATGTATCTTTTTCTTCCTCTGAAACTGTGGAAGTGTTCTTTGGTAATCTCTTAAAAAGGATCCAGCATTGTCTAACCTCTGGAGCAGACTTGCAAAGTTTTGCAGAACGTCTTGTAAAGTTATCAATACACGTGATGTCCCAAATATCTGAAAAAAATCATACCGCTGGTGCAAATAAGAATACCACTACAGAACTTATGGAACTTCTACTAAAGAAGCCGAAAGATATGACACCCAAACTGGAGTTTGACAATCCTACGTCTGAAGCATCTGATTTCAATTCAACCTCAAAAATTATTGTTAGAGAGTATCCTTTTTCTCTAATGTCGCTTTAACGTTAAAAGTATCTTGCAGTCTCAAGCTCTTGAAGTCACAATATTATACTAGTAAAGTTTTCCTTAACTTGAGCAAGATATGAATTGCAGGTTTTCCTTCGAATGGAATTACTTCGTTCAGATGTTTCTGAGAACATTAAAGGCTCTGTAAAGCAGAAGCTTGTGAAGCAGGTTTGCTCACTTCTCGAGATAATTCAGTACCTTGTTGAAGGAGGCATTCATGGTCATGTTCGCCTTTATGATTATGTTGAGCGGACCATCAGGGCGAGGTATATGAGGAGACATTAATACCATAACTTATATGTGACAACCCATAACCACTTCTGTCCCGAAATAAGCTTTGTGTAATTGTGTTTTCCTCTTTGGTGTGTCCTAAAATAACTTATTGTTTCCTTTTATGGAAAAAAATGTTTGTTTAGTACCGTTTTACATTTCTACTTAAATCCCAACCACACTTTGTTCCTTTTAAAGCACATTCTTAATAATCGTGCCGATTCCAAACAAGAAGTTTATTTTAAACGGTGGGAGTACATATAGGTTGGCCTCTTATTTATACCACTTTTAGACTTTCTTCTGTCCGAGGTAATAACAGAAGTCCACCCGACCTCCCACCATTTCAGGTACAACCATAACCTGGAAGATGTTGTGGCTGAAATCTATGCTCAAATGGATCTACTGCCATTTGGTGAGGAAGATGAAATTCAAGCACAGCTCTTCAACAGTGAGGATAGTGATCAATCATGGAAAGAGAATCATGATGGATATAAAATGGCCAAACCTGACAATGTCCTACGATCAGGTTTAGCTGGATATGATGACTCCAGCCAGCCTGCTGACGAAAATTCCGAGTCAGCCAGAGAGGAGGAACATGCACGCAGGATAATTGAAGCTCGCGAAAGGAGAGAGAAAGCTAGGAGATCTTTGTACACGAGGATGCCAGACCTACAAAGAGTTTGGGCACCCAGGCAGCTCAAGGCCTCAAAAGGGAAATCTGAAGGGCAGAAAGACACTAAAAGGAAACACATGCGAAAGGCACGTTATAGTGTGGTGTGTGAAACCCCAATGAGTGAAAGGAAACATATGTGCTCTTCCGATGGCGAAAAGGGGCATACAGACTCCGGTAAGTCTTTACGTGTGGTTCCTAAAGCATTGTTTCAGGATGCCTGATCATCAGCTTCAGATTGGTTTAATCACTTTTATGGGTTAAGTGGTGTGATTGAGAAAGCTTTGCCATTGAAGGGTTATAGAGAAAATACAAAGAAAGCAAAAGAACTAAAGGTCTATAATGACAGTACTCGCTAGCACTACTAATACATCATTGTAACACACCAAAGCTGGTGAGAATCCCCAGAATGACACCCCCCCCCCCCCCCCCCCTTGTGTAATTAATTTATTTGTAGTTTTTTATTTCTTCTTGGAGGTGGGCGATTGAATGCTCCATGCCCTTTATTTATAGAAGACTTTCTGTAGGAATGTACCATCTCATGTTCTATATAAACCCCTATGTATTGTGTTTATTCATAATCAATAGAGTTGATCTTTCAATTATACATGCTAGTTTCTCTTTAGGCCAGGCTATACATATGATTTCTCTTGCCATTACACGAGCTTACATTCTATGTTCGCTACAAGTGGTATGCGATTATGTGTTTGTACACACACATACATGATACATATGCAGCAAAATATGTATATTCATTCTCAACCCAAATAGTTTTGTACTCCGCATGTATAACAGGTGCGAACTGTGGCATGTACTAAGGTAGGCAGTAGTAAATAAATTGTTTTTGCATGAAGATTGTGCATTGAAATACATGTATCTTTGGTGACATTTTTGTAAAGTTTTCACAATTGTTCATTTGTATCGTGTTCCTCTGTAGTTTGTACTAGGTAATCATCTTCTAAAGAATATTCTTTTGTGTTGTGTATAGTGAACAAGCAGAAACTTAACTAGTAATTTCTACTACATTGGAGAAACTTTATCAAGAAATTCAGCGAGAAAATCAATTAAGAAAAACGGTACACTTCACTTGTCTATCAATTAAGAAAAGCAATTATAAAAATTTATGGAATCTTATATGTGAAGCTGTTGATGACTATTATTTGTAAATAAATTGCAATTAACACCATCAGAGTGTTTTATAATAAATGCAGTCATTTAAACGTCAAGAGTGATAAACTGATAGTAACGATGTTAATGGCATCCTGGTGGCGGCGGCAATGGTGGTGCTGAAACACATGTGGCAGGGGTATAGTGGTGGTGGCATCAATAATATACTATTTAGTTAATCATTATTTTGTGAATATTAAAATATCGCAATCAAAGATTAAATGCTTCAATATCTCAAAAGTCTTAATATTGTATCTGAAAAATAATGTGGCCCTAGAAAAAACAGTCATACTTCAATAGGATGTCCTCCAAATTTCCTCTTGACCTTTTATGACATCACCCGTTTTTTAAACAGTTACGAAATACTTTCATATATCTTTAAATCCCTAAATCTGTATAATGCAGAGTTGAAGACCTTCACAAATTCACTCATCATCATCATCATTGCCCCAGTGCAACAAAGCCAAGCTTCACCCATTACCATTAGCAAGAAGTAAAAGTAAAAAAATAACCAATCAAGTATACCCCAAGTGACCACTAATCGCTCCATATATTCTATAATGTGACGAGGCTGAAGAAATTTTGGTCAAACTTTTGTAATGGTTAATACAATCTTTATCTTTATATTATATAAAGTAGCAAAGTTGCTACAAGTTTTGGCTCCAATTTTCCCGCTCAATGGGCATCAAGCAAAATAGGAAATAATCTCCATCATATTAATGACTCACAAATGTAGTACGAGTAGTTAACAGCGTGCATTCAGCTCTTCGCATAAAAATGTGCATTCAATGTTTATATATGGGAATTTTATCAATTGTAATCAATGGTATGTTATTCGCCCCGTATGTTACTCCGTTTCTAAACACATATACGTAAGTCATGAAATAAGTTTATATTAATATTAGTATACTCCATATAATATAGTTATTTATTAATTAAAGAATCGACATAACTTGGAATAATAATTTTATTAAAGAATAAATATGGATATTGCTATTTTATTGAGGGATCAATATGAAAATTGATAATTTTAGTTCTATCAATGACAAAGACAATAATTATGCATGGTTTTGATGATAAATAGTCTATATTTTACTAATTATGTCAATATACATAGTATATTGTTTTAATGGTTTATTTTTATAAACCATACATAGTATAATACATATAAGAAACCATACATAGTATAATGCATAGTATAATTTCATTAGTTAAGGAACCGGTCTTTATCTTTATATATAATACTCCCTCCGATTCTTAATTAAGTTTCTGGTTTGACTTCACACATATAAGAAAATAAATTTGGCTTTACTGTGGAGTGCACCGTTTTGCACTGTTTTGCACTATTTAAGCACTGTTTCTAGTGTAGATTTGTTTGCCAAATAAGGAAGTAGGAAACTAGGAATTTGCTTAGAACATCCGAAAAAGCTAGGAAAGTGGGAACTTAATTAGTTAATTACGGGACAGAGGAAGTACAAAGTATCAGTATTGCTACCTTTTTGAAGCCAAAAATCCAGCCCATTTTATGGGTGTAATTGGAAATCTTGATGCATTAAATCATGCAAAATATATCTTGCTAGAAATTTAGAATGAGGCTATACGTGAGTGATGCCACCACTTTTAATTTAGTCTTTTGTCCATAAATAAATGCAATCATAAATGTATTCCAATATTTCAATTCTGTCGTGATTAAAATTATTCCATATATAATAGTTACCCATATTTATGGAAGTTATAATATATGTAGTATAATGTGTATAATCGTGATTAAACTTCCATTACATTCCACAATTATGAAATTACACATAAATTCCTACTCAAAATGTTTCGAAACCTTACATTAACAAATTTACATTTTTATGAATTTCATTTCAAAAAGCACAACCATACATCATTCCTAATAATAAATTCGATTTTAAATTTAACAACCGTATAATTAACGAGACTCTATAACGTAAAATCAGTTGTATCGTGCACACAGTGCAATTGGGTATTTTATAAAACTTCATTTAGTGACTTCTATTTTCGACTTATTAACCTTTGCACCTAAATTTTCATCAAACATGTAATTTTTAATTTCACACTGAGTAAGGCTGTGGTTACTTTTCTGATTGAATTAGCTGAAATTATTTCAAGGGATCATTTTAACTGAATTTCATATAATTTTTTCATTACTTTATTAATAAATATATTTTAAGTATTCTTTTATTAGTTAGGCATATTCAGCTACTTCAACCAGAGCTTTATCAATTTCAGCAGAATCAGCCGATTCGACCAATTTTTATGTTACCATACAAGCTCTAAAGAGGAACAACATTCCACAATTTTACGCAATTAAAAATAAGACACATTTTAATTTTGATTGCTTCGAATATTAAAATGTACTCCGTATAATTTTTCTATATTTCATGATAGTCATTATATTTATTATTAAGGTAGAGTTTTTTCCCACCCAATGAAAGCAGTAATGGTGTTACATATGATATGACATTCATTTTGAAACTTTCTTAATATGATTGTCATTAACTTATTTAACAAGCATAGGGAACAATTATCATATGATATTGTGGTACTATTATTCGTCTTATTGGATATCATGATTCCTATCAAATTGTTGATTGTTGATTGTTATCTATTCAGTAATCAGTATTGGTGTTATAATTTGTTCATTTTGCTAGACAATAATTGTCAATTTTAATTAAATTTATAAGTTCAATCAACTTCAAGGTGTAATAAAAATGATAGAATTTGGATAGGATAAAGAAAAAAAGAGGCGAAAATTAGAGAAAGCGGTGGCGCTAAGTAAAAAAGTTTCAATGGAATTTTTTTTGTGTAAAAAAGTCAAATTCTTAATGTCTTCTTCAAGATGAGAACTCAAAAAGAAGAATGTTTTAGCTATCAAAAATGAAATGATTCAGAATGATCACATCATTGGAGGGAAAAATTTAGGAGTTGATAATAATAGAGTTAATTCTTTAAATAGGACGAAAACATTAGTAAAGTGCACAAAAAGGATTACCATTTTTCCTTCCTAAATAAGGACCACTAATACTATAATATTATTAATTTAGAAAGAAAAGGGTTTTATGAAATTTAATAAGTGTTTTTAAATATTACTCCGTATTATCATGCATGTTAGTTTAAACATAAAGGGTTTTTACAATTTTTTTAAGGTTTGGCAAATTTTAGTTGTCCGCCCTAGAGCCTTCAAACATATATGATCAACCGGCCTTGGTATGTTCTCATGTTAAGGGTCACCTCAAGGAGTGAGTAGAATATTCTTATATGTGATTAAGAGAGTTGTGCTATCAACTTTTCTAAAAGTGATGATCCTTTTTGTACAGTGCCAACATATATGACAATCATTTTTATAATTCTTCCTTATGGCCATCGAATGAGACACTTAAATTGTGGAATCATCATGTTTCATTTTTATATCAAGTAGTATTTATTCTTACAACTTACCCTTTATTTTAAATTTATTTGCAATTGTTCATATGATCAACATTATTCATTTTTCCAACGAATTATAATTATATAATCAAAGTTCAAACATAAAAGTTCTACTATATTTTTTATTTAAAATAATTACATATTACGTATCATCATAAGCAAAGTTAAATAATTTAAACAAATTGTTATCCTACTCTAGAGGTACCGTGCATCGCACGGGTATTGCGTCTAGTGTAAAATAAGAAAATAAAGCTTACATATCTAAACACCACACAAAAGCCCTACAAAATATATAGTATCATGACTATTTACTCAAAGGACAACCCAGTGCACATTGACATTCCCGCAAGGTGGGGGTCTGAGGAAGGGTCCCACTACAAGGCTGTATAGAGAGTAAGCATTCTCTTTTCATTTTGACAAGAGGCTGCTCCCAAATCTTGAACCCATGACCTCTCAATCATACAACAACACCGTAACTGGTGCGCCAAGGCTCCCTTCCATCATAACTATTTTACTTATAAGAAAGTTATTAAAGAAGATAACATATAAATGAAGATGCAATTCGAGTATACAACCAATGTACTGATAGAGTACTACAAAATTATCACTCACTTTCTAGTTCCAAAAGGTTGAATCGCCAACCCCAAGCGCCCCCCACGCCCCGACCCGACAGAGCACATGGGAGGATGTAAGTCACGGTGACTCAGTCAGCAGAGTGGCAGTAGGCCTTTACCCCGTGCGCACCAGAGGCCCAGCCTTATTTCAGGTTCTGTGACCTCCACCCGGTCGCTGCGGGGATTCGAACCTTGGTCATAGTTCCAATTTTCCCACCACTCGACCAGCTGAGCTACCCGCTGCGGGGATTCGAACCTTGGTCATAGTTCCAATTATCACTCACTTTCTAAAGTAGACTTAACGGGGTGTCCCCAACTATGATTTACAAAGTATGTCTCTATGGACCCTGTGGCAATATCAATTAATGATCAGTGAATCTCATGTCACGTTAACATATCAATGGCTTGTTTCTGTTTGCTTAATCTGTGGATGACAGACATGGTGTGAATCTAATTTGAACAAAATCAAGGGCTTGTTCAGCATGATCAGGGGCTGGTTTGGCACTCTAATCCAACAGAGCAATTTAAGAACCACCCTCGTGTCTATCAAACATTGAAGCGAAATAGCATCACATCCCCTTCTTGTACAACATACTCTTTCCCTTCTAACCTCAACTACATAAACCAGGGAGATCCATATAAGCTTGTCTTGATATTGGTGAGTAACATGAAATTAAAAGGAATAATAATAATAATAATAATAATAATGTGTCAAAATAAACACTATATGAAGAACAGAAACAGCACTTGGAGAAAACGACTTACAAGTCCTTTCTCTCTTGCAGCTGCAAATGACCCAGCAGCAACAAAATCATCATAAGCAACCTAGGATCAAAATTTTCATCAATTAAACTTGAAATGAGACCACCTTGCATCAAAATGACCCTTACTGCCTTACATGAATATTGACGTCCAAAAAAAACCATGAACATTCAAAATCATACTACCTCCGTCCCGGTGGACTTTGCCAAGTGCAAAGTAGGTGAGAAATAAGAATAGTAAAAACTGTGTGGTTGAGATTTGTGCAGAGGAGAGAGAAATGTACAGAACCACAAATTAGATGCTTTAATGGGAAAGTGGCAAAGTTTTTTGGGACAACCAAAAAGTGAAAGTTGGCAAAGTCCAATGGGACGGAGGGAGTATTACTTTTGAGCTGTTATATATGTGCTTTTTAGATGATGAGGAAGCAGTCCAGTCCAGCTGGTCGCTGACTCACTCTCCCTTACGGGAGGTCTCGGGTTCGAAACTCAATAGAGTGAGTTTCAGCCCTGATTACTCCAGCCCCCCCCACACACCCCCTGTATTGTTTTTCAAACAATTGACTAGTGAGCAAAGAATACACCACTTAAAAGTAATCTAACATAGGAAGCTGGAAAAATGAGATAATCTAACCGTCTCCGCTCGAATGAAACCCTTTTCAAAGTCAGAATGTATGACTCCAGCTGCTTGAGGTGCAGTCATGCCTACATATGCATTATGAATAGAAATTAATGTTCAACAAAATTGTACAAGAATCACAAGATTAACCTTGCAGGATATAAGGTTAATTCTCTTTAAACTGCAACCCCCTAAACTAAGGCTCCAACTAGGAAGGAGAAAATAACTTCAGTAATTTTCGGAATTTCCATACTTAAAAGAATGAGGTAAATGAGAAATGACTTATCAAGTTGGCCCCACGAGGCCACGACCACCTATTATTAACAACAAAAATTACTCCATATATTATTATATACTATCATCATCAGGATTATCATCATTGTTACTACTAGAACTACTACTACTTTTATTTATACTCCCACTGTCCCTTAAAGAACTTCACTCTTTCCTTTTATGGATATCCCTAAATAAAGTCCTCTTTACTTATTTGGTAAACAAATTTCTATCAATTTACTCTACTTCCCTTAACTAATAATGACAGCACAGTGTCAAACATTATCAAAACGGTAAAATTTACCCTCGATAAAAAGGGCAATTCAGTAGATCAAATGAAAAAAAAAATCCTTAAAATGAGTGCTATTCAAACTGGAAACTTTAAAAAGGGATGGAGAGAGTATTACTTATCTAATAGGGAAATGGACCAAACAGAAGATGATAGATGTTTCACTTTCATCCAAATACAAGAAATTGAAATGGTTACTGAAAATGAGTGAATTCTAGATACATGTGGGTGTTGGTCATCATCAACATCATCATTACCCCAGTGCCGCAAAGGCTCCCACACCTTCGGTGGGGTAAGGAAGGTCGGATGTATGCAGTCTTACCCCTGTACTAAAGCAGAGAGACTGTTTTCGGATGACCCATAGTGAAAATCGCATCAAAAATTGCATGGACTGACTGTTGCTTCATAAAAAAGAAGCGCAGATAGTTTAGTAAGCCATTTTGCTTTATTCCATCATATTCACAAGCCAAAAAATAGTGAGTCTTTGGCTCAATTGCAAATGATGGGAAAATATATGTGGGCGTCGGTGGGTGTCATTTTTTACAAGGTATTTGTTGTCTTTCAAAAGGAAGCAAAATCTTGTTAAGGCGGAGAAATGTAATAGATTAATGAGATACGGCTATACTTTGAAGTGAAAACACAACACAAAACCACAAATTTAAAAAAAGAAATGCAAGGTACAAGTTAAGCGCATGACGCCAATGATAAGTAGAATATTTTTTATGTGAATACAAAGTAAAAGCAAAACTATAAAATTGTCAACACCATTTAATAATAACAATAACAATTACAGTAATACTATAATAGTAATAGTAATAATATTAATAGAAGCATATTCTCTAATACTTTATTATCAGCTTAATATGAACACGGATGCTGTTATTGAGCACAACCCGCACCCACATGCCCCTTATACACCATTGTGATGGAACCCTTCCCCGGACCCTCGCCTTGCAGGGATGCCTTCATGCACCGGGCTGCCCCTTTCTTAGGTATAAATCCTCTAGTAACATTAGACAAGAAATTGAAACAGGGAAAGTTCACCATACCACAACGAATGCAATGATTCAGCAACATAAAACTTCATCGCTTTAAACGAATAAGGCACATATCAATCTCTTCCATAAGTATAAAGAAAACAAACGCGTTGATAACTTATCAATGATATATGTTAAAATGAAAAATGAATCGTAGTATTAAACAGTACAGAAGTGGAGTTTTACCAGAGAGTATAGTCCAAGCCTTTGTTTCCTGTAAGTATATTGGCAAATGTACTTAATAAAGTGAACACAAATTCTAATAGCAATGCAAATGTACTTTACCTTCTCGCCAGAAGTGAAGTATGTTCTCAAACCAAGGAGACCATATGTTGCTCTGATAAGATTTCCAAGGCCACTTTCATTAACACCGAGTGATTTTAAATACTCCAGCCTTTCTCCTAGAGGAAGTTCAGCAAGCTCTGACTCAACCTGCACCAAGAAGCTCCAATGTTCAGTTCCAACAGCACAAATGCATTAACAGATTTACCCAGCAAAAATTGACTACGACGACTTGACTTTCAGAGGATAAATAGACAAATTGAATTCTCTAAAAATATCTATTATAAGGCTAAAAGGGATGGGGGGAACCTGAGCAGAGATGGTTACTACACCAGATTGTAGCTCTAAAGCAGTATTCATCACTTCTTTGACATGAGAATTGCTTTCAGGTTGAGCTACATCTGACTCTGCAACATTAGCCACATATATAATTGGTTTCATTGTAAGCAAGCACAGATGCTTCACAGCATCCTTTTCAAAAGCTGTTAAAGACACTGATCTTGCTGGATTTCCATTAACCAGCGCATCTTGAATCCTTTCCAGGGCAGATTTTTCTGCTTCCTCCTAATACAAGTTGCTTACAAAGTTATTTTTCATACCTAATGATATTAATAGTGTCAATAAAAAAAGATAAGACCATCCTGTAACCAACAACAAACTTTTACCTTAACTTTAGACTGTGAATCCTTTGCTCTGCCTTTTTTAAGTTTCTCCATTCTTTTCTCAATCTGTATTTCTTGTATAAAAGTCAACTTAGGTCTATACGTCAGCGTAGTACATCACATAGACAAAACATCATCATTCATCATGATACCTGGTCCAAGTCCGAGAACACCAACTCCAAGTTGATTACATCAATATCAGACTTTGGATCAACTTTCCCATTCACGTGAACAATATCATTATCCTCAAAGCAGCGCACAACCTGAAGCAGTAACAATATCCATAAATGATATAACTACCAATGTTAGAACTTGAAGGGGTGACAATATAACTCCCTATCACTATTGGTTTGCATCAAGATTCGGCATGAAAAGCGACGGAGGGGGTGGGGGGTACCCTGAAATATGTTGTTTGGGGATGATTTCACGTTGATGGATGAACTTAAGGAAGAGTTAAATGTTAAGTAAAAAATATGGAGACAAGAGTAAGAATAACGAGACATTAGGATAAACTGAAGTAAAATGGAGTATTTGGAGTCAAATCCAAAGTTGGTAAAATCGTATTTTTGAATCGAATCGGTATAGAGATTTAAAAATTGGGTCGTAAAATCGAATCGTAAATCGTAAGATTTTATATTAAAAAAATAAGAATATACATTTAAAAGCTCATAATAATAAGAAAGATAATGGAGCAAAAAAAAAAAAGTAATTACTACATAGATAACAAAAGTGTAAGGAATACGGACTACAGAGTACATGAGATGGTATAGGCGTATAGCTGGGCATCTTTAAAATTTTCTAGTGGGTTCCAGTCCCTGCTCCTACGTAGGATGGTGTTTTAGTTTTGAAAGGTTTTGTTCTTCTTTCTTCCTGGTTCCCACACCTGACGAAGAGGGCAGCTGCTCCTCTCAATTCTATTATAATTTATAAATGCTAGCTTTCCACTCATATGTGAGCACCAGCAACTCTTGCGGGTCTGAAGACATGGCCGGGCCTTGCCCTTCGCCTTCCGCTGGGCCTCATTAAGCTGGGCCGCGTTTATAGTCTAAATCGTAAAGTCATATTTAAATCGCGATATTAAGCGATTTAGTACAATTGATTACGATTTTATCCGATTTTTTTAAATTCGATTTTATATACGATTTGAATCGAGTGGGTGATTTTGAATCATAAAATCGTTCAAATCGCAATTTAAACAACCTTGCTCAAATCTCAGTTAATTGGGTTAATTACGGCATATTTGGATTTCTAGAATTTGCACATTCATATCCCTTTTGAACTGAATACGAAGATGAGATATTCTGATTCAATGTCTTGATCTTGACAAGCTTATATTGGTGTATGTAATGTTTTTGTGTTCCAACTGCTATGTGATCATATATGTCAATTCTAGAGATTCAAACTATCTCAAATTCTCAATTGGTTGCAGCAAATACAAACCAGCGAGCTGCTATTGAAACCGGCTGGAAAAAGTTTGAATGCAAATACATGCCAGGTGCCTTATATGATGAGCATTCGATCAATATCATAAATCACGTGCAAAGGCTGGGCAGTCCTAACCACCAGCATTTTATCAAAAGCCAGCCAACCTATATAGTTGCCGGCCAGTTAGACCCCTCTTTGAAATGATGTTAATTATTGACCGGGGCATGTTAAAATTAACCCGTATGTGACTATGTTCTATAATTTAGCTGTGTGTGATTGTAAGTTAAGTGTGTAACATTCAAACGATTGCACTAGCTGGCGTACTCCTGCAGTGTGTCAGCCTCTGACAGCATGTCCATACACTGGACAAGGCATACAGTCCAGCTCAATACACGTACTTAATGGACCTGCTCAGTGGTACTTCTTAAGCTGAATATGCACTATTGATGGACCGGTTCAGCTGTACTTATCAATATTGGTACGTGCTCCCAATAGGCCGGTCCAGTGGAATTTGGGTAGTGCGACACTTGCAGACTGTGAGCCTGAGAATGAACATTAAAAGGAATCTTACAGTGCAGTAGTGCACTCTACCTAATCTAAGGAGGTAGAATACTAGAATGGGTTGGAAAGAATTCACAATCGAATGATTTCTAGTAGCTCCATTCGGCAATTACCAGCCAGTTAGCCCAAAAACACAAGTATTTAACAGTGGGACGGACATACCTGAAGTATGGAGTCCACTTCACGAATGTGAGACAAGAATTTATTACCCAAACCCTGTCATTAAAGACCTTTGTTACTAATTATGGAGCACTAAATGGAATCATTATTGATATATTAGAGCAAAACAAAATTTAATCACAGATGAGATATATTTTACTAAAATATATATTAGTAAAAGATATGAACCTCTCCTTGGCTGGCTCCCTTTACAAGTCCAGCAATATCAACAAATTCTATTGATGCTGGTATAGCTCGATGCGATTTGCTAAGATCAGAGAGCACATTGAGGCGTGGGTCTGGAACCGCAACTTTCCCTACATTTGGTTCTATTGTGCAGAAGGGAAAGTTAGCAGCTTGAGCCTTTCCATTCTCAACCTGCGAGAATAGAAGGTAAGGGACATATAATAGTTCAAGACTTCAAGTGCTCTTTCAGCATTCACACCCATACCAACTCATTGTAATTTAAAAGACCATCCAATCTGAAAGAACACCTCCCCTCCTATACTACCGCACCGTATGACATTGGCAGTAAAACTGTTAACTGCATTATCACAGACATTTCCAATTCAAAAGCAATGTGTACAGATTACAGATTACTTTACTAGCATAAGGGGTACTACAGACGAATACTTAGAAGCAGAAACACATTTCCAGGGTAGCCTTTTGAGATTCAACGAATTGGGGCGTATATACTTTGCAGAATACAGATTACTTTACTAGCATAAGGGGTACTACAGACGAATAGCAAGAAGCAGAAACACATTTGGGATTAAAAAATTCACAGGTCAAGCTAAAAATACAGCCAATTGAGCTTCCAAATGCATGTCCTGGTTAGAATCTAGTAGGGACATTTATACAAATACATAATAGACAGGCGTGATCGCCCTAGAAATAACACTTAAAACCCATAAATAAATGTGTGCGTTTCGCGACTTAGCAATGCAAAGACTTACTACGGAGTTGAAGAGAGTGGATTTTCCTACATTGGGAAGGCCAACAATCCCGGCTCTCAAGCTCACGCTTACTTTTGCGGTGGAAAACCGCCGCGTCTTTAGGAGTAGAGAATGGTTAGTTTCTGAACGTGTAAGCCATTGGAAAGAAGTTTTTTGCACGAAAGAGGAGCTAAGTGAAGGTACTACGGAAGGAAGAAGCTGAGAGTACGCTACTCTCGCCATGGCTTCTGCGTGCTTGGCTGCTTACGGATTAACCGCTCCTAATAGTGTAGTGGGGCCCGCGGAACTGAAATCCGAATCCAAAAAATGAAATGAAGCAAAATAAGCAAAATTCAACAAATCGAACTATAGTTGTTATTTGGGAAAAGTGGTTGAGCCATTTTCACATAGGGTCATTTGTTTCATTCTTTATCAAAGTGATTCATGTGTTTCAATTCCGTTATCACAAGAGGGTCACGCCATTAAAAACGTCTGAAAAAACCCGTTAAAAGTAACTCTGATTTTCAAAAGTGCACGAAAAATTAAAAGAAAAATACCGAAATGTGCGCCTCGTCAAGATGACCTCCAAACCACCTTCGCAATTGGATTTTTCAGATCTGTTTGAATTATTTTTTTAAAAATGATTTCGCTAATATCACTTTGCCAGTGGACGTTCCGGTGACAAGCGTGGCTGAAAACAAAAAAAAAGAAAGATAGCCTAGCGGTCCTCTTATTGAGGTGCACCTTCCGGTATTTTCTTTTAATTTTTCGGGCACTTTTGAAAATCGGAGTTACTTTTAACGGTCTTTTTCAGACGTTTTTTATGGCGTGACCCTCTATCTGAAAACACACCCAAACACAAATACCTTTTCCGTACTTTTCCCTTGTTATTTCGTTTATTTTTTGAAGGGAATAATTTAATTATTATTGACAGAATAATAAGAATGGTTGCAATTGTGTAGCTCAACTGTTTAAGGTTATAATGGGATTAGATATACAAACGAACCATTCAAATGGAAAATGTTGAATCGTTAAATCGCTAATCTCACAAAGATATAAACTTTACTTGCAGATTGATTAATCAATCCTGTTACGAAAAAATAATGACCAAAGCAACTGATTTTACTAACCATCGGTGAGGGAAAAAAGACACACATCTCAAATTCACTCTCCACTTAAAAAGAAACTCTGAAACTTTTCGATTCTGTCAAGCACCGATAAGGTGTGAAGTGTATAATTTGTTCCGATTTCACCAGACATATATAGGAATGAAAGAAATAATTGTGATCTCATCTTCTTGAAATAAAATACAGTTCGTAGTTGATGAATAGATGAGTGCAACCTCTTATTAGCATCCAATAATACTCGGCAAAGATGACAGAGAATCGACACCTGACCGGCGAGATTCAACAATCGAATACAAAATCTCTAGACAATGCTAGAAAAGAAACATACATAATGGATTGAAAGTGCCTATTAGTACAAAATAACATAAAACATATTGCAAAAAATATAGAAGAATCTTGTTTCTTTTTCATGATTAGACAAAAAAAAAAGACTGAAAGATGAGATGAAAAGAAAGTGGTTAGGATTTCCCCATCACCGCTCCTCTCTACTGCTAGGTTTTAGGATTTTTCAAGTGTCACAATTTAATAACCTTACAACCCCAATTGTTTTGTTTATTAAACATTTGATTATTAACTACAATCCATTCTTTAGTCTAGACATTCAAGCATAGTAGTATATATGAGGCAGTTCAATGATTTGAATTTTGTAGTAGTCGGGATCAGTTATCACATCAAGGCTTTGTATTATTAAAAACACACTCCCATAAAGTTTTGTCAAATCTCCTTATTTAACTGTTCTAAAGTAAATCCAAAAATTCTAGGGCTGCTCATCTCTAAAAAATGGTAGCTCCCTAGGGTTTCTAGGGTTGATTTTTTCGGCAAAGGTTTTCTTGCGTTTGGCATTTCGTTTCAAATGAGTGCTAGGGTTTTTGAGGCGGCGAGTTCATTCGTGGCATAGAGGAGGAATATTCAGTTTTCAGATGAAGCAGGAGGGGGCTAGATTGGTTGGCAAGAATGGTGAATGCATGAGAGGAAACATCATAGTCAAGGAGCAAGTGGATGGTTTGGTCGTCCCCCTCTTGAACCACCATCATGAAATGAACACATGACTAGGGTTTGGTCAACTTTAGTTTCTTACTCTATTTTTACTTCAAACTTTATTTTTCTTCAGTTCATTTTTTTGCCTTGTCTTTGGATTATTATTGTTACTTGCTAGTGGCAGTCTTGAGATGTATAAGACTGATAGTTGCCTCGAAGATTCCATATGTTCAATAAAAAGTTTCGCGCAGTTTTGAATTGACTTTTCTATGTATGATGAGGAACTGAGAAAACTTTTTGACTATTGTGAGGCTAGGTAAGTGGTAAAAAGTACGATGACCTTAAGGGTCTGTATGAACTCTATGTCATTGGTCAACGATAGATGGTTCTTTGGAAATGGTCGTCTCAAAGTCTGACCGTAGAATTTTATTAAATCTAGATGGTGCTTTTGAAAAAGAAAAAATTGAAAATAATAATCCCAATTAACTATTGTCGGTCCGCTGACAATAATCTCAACTATTGATTATTTGTGTATAATCCCAACTATATGGACCGTCCGCCAATAATGGTCCGTGACCAGATATTATCTCCTATAATAAGTGAATTTTAAATAGAAATTAAGAGGCCGTTTGGCAACATCCTTTTTCGGCTTATCAACCAACTTTTTCACCAAACACGTAACTTTTACTTTCACGCGCTGAATTGTGTAATAAGCAGAAAAAGTAAGGTTAGAGTTACTTTTCTGGCTGTATTGGCTGAAGTTACTGTAGATTACCATTTTAGCTATTTTTACATATAACTTTTTTTATTATTTTATTAATAAAATATATTTTAAAAATAATTTTTACTTAAATCAGCAGAAACAGCCAAAGCAGCTACTTCAGCCAGAACTTCATAAATTTCAGCAGAAGCAGCCAAAACAGCCGATTTTCGTGCTACCAAACGGGCTCTAAGCGTAAAAATTAAAAGTTGGGATTATTTATAGGGATTACTTGTTATATCTCTTCTCATCCACTTTAGAAACTACATGAATTTATTTATAGGGACCATTATTGGCGGAAGGTCTCTAAAGTTGGGATTATTCTGAAATAATCGATAGTTGTGATTATTATTAGCGGACCGTGAATAGTTGAGATTATTACTATCAATTTTTCCTTTGAAAAATAGATGGTGAAGTTTGAGGTATTGGTTGGCTGTAACCTTTGCTTTGATCGATTTTTAATATAAGTTTCCTTTTCTACGAAAAAATCGTTCTAAAGTAATTAATGAGGCGATTCTAGGGATCTTGCAGATAGATTTGAATCCGGTAAAGATCATAAGTAAGATTTAGGTATGTTTGACATACATAGCTGAAAAGATACTTTGTGAGCTTTTTAGTGACTGAAAAGATTTTAAAAGAAAAATGTTGTAGCTATTTGATAAACAACTAACCGTTTAATTTAACTCTTTTTGGTATAACAAGTTATTGTCACTAATTAATGCTGAAAGCTATAGACTTGTTGTTAGAAGCTATAAAGAGATCTTTTTTAAGACTCTGAATTATTATCATGTCAAACATACAACTAGAAACATTTAGACACTTTTAAAATAGTACAAAAGTTAAAAGTTAGAAACTTATGTCTATCAAACCATGCACTTCATAGGTTTGACGCAAACATAGGTCATGGTGTGACGTTCTTGCTAGAATGGGGGTTAATTAAGAAGACAATACGGAACGTAATTGAGCTTTTGGATCTATTAAGAAAACATCTAACCTAAGTAAACCCTTGAGGCTGACCCTGTGGTTGAAAGAGAAACTGTATTTTGATGAAGCTTGTGACATGAAACTACATATTTTTTTAGATGATAATGGATTTATCATATTCAAATAAGGAGAAGACAATTTAAGTATTTGGAATCATATCATCCAACAAAGGAAAACATGTATTTCTATTGATGCGAGATGAAGAGGTGACACTGATTTACATCGAGATTATACATAATGGTGAAATCTAGTTAGCATATTCTAATGACTTCTTATCGGTTTTCTATGAAATATTTATTTGACTACCCTAGAGAGTTTTGTGAGAAGAATATTAAATTTTTATTCAATGCTCCCGAAGTAGCCTCACATGCTAAAGTCTAATACAAGTACTTTTTTGTTCAGGAGTTGTATTATTTTCAATCAAAAGTGCAATCATGTATTGTACAAGTATTATATAACGAGAATATTTTTAAAAATATTTTTTTGTGAATAATCTCTTCTTCCCAATCATAATGTCAAAAAAAAAATTATCAAGTTAATCACTAGATAATCTAAATAGAGGATGCCCTTAATGGACATGGAGAATCAAAAGAGGAGTACTAAGAGCCCGTTTGGTAGCACCAAAATCGGTCGATTTGACTGATTCTGCTGAAATTTATGAAGTTCTGGCTGAAGTGGCTGCATTGGCCGATTCTGCTGATTTTAAGAAAAAATTATTTTTAAAATATATTTTATTAATAAAATAAAGAAAAAATTATATGTAAACATAGCTAAAATGATCATCTGTAGTAACTTCAGCCAATACAGCCAGGAAACTAACTACAACCTTACTTTTTCTGCTAATGACACAATTCAGCGTGAGAAAACAAAAATTTACTACCTCCGTCCCACTAAGATTGGGACGGAAGAAAGTGACACGATTATTAAGAAAAGTGAGTTTGTGTGGTTGATATTAAATTGATAAAGTAAGAATAAAGTAGGGAAAACTATCAAATAAGCCCCCGTACTATACCGAAAAAGTCGATTAGGCCCTCGTACTTTACAAACACTCAATTAAGTCCTCGAAGTATTAAAAAACGTTCAATTAAGCCCTTTCGGTCGGTAAGTAACCCGTTTCCCGGATAAATGTAACCCGTTTCCCGGCAGCCGCCATTGCTAGGGTTCGAGCACATCGTCGCCGTCGTCGCCGTTTAACAGGAAAACCGGTTACTTACCGACCAAAAAGACTTAATTGAATGTTTTTTAATAGTTCAAGGACTTAATTGAGTGTTTGTAAAGTGCGAGGGCCTAATCGACTTTTTCGGCATAGTACGGGGGCTTATTTGATAGTTTCCCCAATAAAGTATGAATGATTTAGAACCACACAATCTTTACCAAAGTTGGTATGCAGGGATGGATTTAGGGGGGCGCGGGGGGGGCGACCGCCCCCCTTAGACTTTCAAAATTTTCTACCATATATGTAATATTTTCATAAAACTTTCATAATTTAA